ACCACTGATATCTTTGTTAATGAATTAATTACTCACAGGTCAGCCCCTGGATGCACTAATAGCAGCGAGAGCTCTACTGAGATAAATCACTTTTGATAAAGTCATGTTTATTGTTATCTGGGGCAGAAGGAAAGAGGGAAGAGAGAGAGTGTTGTGGATTAACATGGAAGGAGATTTAGCACCACAGAATCATTTGGCACTCCCCCCTTTTCCCTTGAAGGAAAAAACCCTTCAAATGTCAGAAGTCATAAACCTTAACAAAATCTTCCCCAAAACAAATACTATATCAAAATATCTATATTCAGCATTCTTCATAGTTTACCTGAAGTCAAGAAAAAATGTTTACAAATCTCATTCATATTTATCACCAATGACTGGGTCTGTGTTTTCTTTTATAGAACCATTCACCTGATGAGCTATCCATTATTCACTGTATTTTGCATTCAGATAAGTCACATGTAGTAATGTCTGCCTCCAACAAATATTAACCTTAAAGGAAATGTTGTACAAATAAAGTGGAATAACATAGATAACAAGAAACTGTTGACCTGCAGAACAACACTATTCAGGCTTGACTAAGCTTTAAATCATGCTTCAAGGTGAAAGCTTCCAGGTTTTTCTGCTTTACAATTAGAACGTCAATATTGGATTTCTCCTTTTCCACACATCCTCCCCTGCCTCAAATGGGCAAGGTCTTGTGAAGACATACAAAATTAATCCTGTCATTTTTGTGGGATTTACGTTGGAAAAGAGATACAAAACAGAGCCCTGCCCTATCTTTCAGAGAAAGAGCTCTCAAATATCCCATTCTTCATTTTCTGCTTACTGTGTATTACCCAGTGGATTTTTGTGTTTCTCAATTTAGGCAACATAATGGACTTACAGTGAAGAGAAGACTACTAGTTATTACTTATGAATGAATATATCATGGCAGTATGCACACTCCAAATAACAGCAATAAAATATGTGGGACCTGAGAAGGCAAGAACTATGGATGCTCACTCTTGTAGGGAAAGGAATCTCTCCATACACAGAAGTAATGGTATTTGAATTTATTTGGTAATTTTCTATGAAGAGAAAGTCAGCAAGTTTCAGATTTTCACACAAAAGCACAAGGTAGAAATATATTTACAAAAGCAAGAAACGAAGAACAATAAAAAATTAGTTTTAGATAATTAAGATATTTAATTTGTTCACAAGAGCAACACCCAAGGGAGATCCTTCTTTCAATTCCCAATTCCAGTGTATGCATTTTTCCCTATTGTCTTTAAAGAGCAGTTGCTGTAGTTAAAACAGCAAAGACAGACAGAACGCTGATCACATTAGAAGGAAAACAGCATTTTCCTTGGCTACTGGTAGAGTCTTTTTCTTCTGTACCACAGCACTGGCAGTCCAGACAGCACGTGGGCAAACAGGCCGCAGGGCCCTGATGGCCCACAAGCCCTGCCCAAGCAATGGCAGCATTGTCAGCCCCTGTGGGTGTTTGTTTTTAACACAGGCCTATGCAATACATTGCCATGAGATGAGTAGCTGGAGCAGAAAGGGGGCAATGGACAGAATCATGAGCCAGTTCAGCATCTGACCTTCTGCTATCCCTCAGGATGGCAAGTGAACCCAGCATGGACCTCAGGGCATAGAAAAGCTGGGGAGGGACTTTTTATAAGGGCACATAGTTAAAGAACAAGGGGAAATGGTTTCAGACTGAAAGATGGTAGAATCAGACTAGATGTTCTTTAAAGAATAAATTCTTTACTGTGAGGATGGTGAGACACTGGTTGCCCAGTAAGGTTGTGGATGCCCCCTCCTTGGAGGCGATCAAAGCCTGGGACTTTGAGGAACCCGGTCTAGTGGGAGGTGGGTGTCCCTGCCCATAGCAGGAGGGTTGGAACTAGATTATCTTTAAAGTCCCTTCCAATTAAACCATTCTATGATTCTACGATAGGCTGCCCACATGTGCTCTGGCAGGTTTTAGCTTGGGGTCCCGCCTGAGTGATTTTGTTTTTTTTATTCCCTCGTGGCTATTGCTTAAGAGTAAAAAGCTGAGGAGCAGTTAGGCTGCTGGGCAGCACTGCATTTGGACAGGAATTGTGTAATATGCTTCACGCTTTTGGTCTCCCACAGACATTTAGCAACCACTTTGATTTTAGTATGACTTCAAAGAGGCCAATGATTTGCCTGGGCAAAAGTGAGTTGTTGTGATACAGTTTCAGTTTGGGGAGGGGCATGACGCTGTTAGGTCGTTAATGCCTTAGGAGCACAGGGTGAGTATGGTAGCAGCAGCACAACTGCTGCTGTTCTCCAACTCCACCTTTCCCTGGGAAGTAGCCTCATTTATGACGCTGTTCTGCAATGATGCTGTTTTCTTTGTGTAGCAAAACTACTTAGATGACCAAATCCTCAGATGCCAGGTAGTTCTGTACTACCGTGCTTAATTTTGTAATTAGGTAAGCCCGAAGAAGCCTCATAATATTTTTAATAATCTTATAATTAGTATGACTGTCCCCATCTCATTGACTAAGTAGGCTTGTAAGCCCGTTTCTTAAGTATGCATTAATTTTGTACTCAGCTATGTGATAGCTATTTGTCTTCACTTAGTTATGCTTAGAAGTTTATTGAGCCAGACCATTTCAGTAATGCTTTAGTAATTTGAAGAGGTATCTCAATTGAATTGCATGGTGTGCCCCCATTATGTTCTACTACACCTCTGTGCACAGCCTTGGCTAGACCATCACAGATACACCTCTACTGCCTTTGAGTATCTGAGAAGGAGTTTTGCATGAACTGGAGTGGAACGGGCAGATCTCAGACCACATGCTGAAGTCCAAAGCACATTTAGTTGGATTGGCCTTCTCTTATGTGGCCAGGAAGGTCACAAGTATCTCACAGCAGGCTATGTGGGAGAGAACAGAGTTATGCTCAAGGATTTCAGAGATGGCAGCAGACGTCTATTTCATAGCAGCCTGCTTGTTTTGTGAGCTGTTGTGAAATAAGTGCTGAATTCTGATGTCACAGTGGAAATGATGAGTAACAGGTTAAAGAAACATATTGCATTGCAGAAATAATGGGATTATTCACAGAAGTGGTGTGAAGTTCCTTAGAACTTCTAACAGAACCCTAGCTGTTCCTTCCCTCTAGGAATGCTGTTTCAACAGCTGAGGTCAAATGTTTTATTTATAAACAAATGTAAGAGAAAAAGAAAAAAAAAACCCTTTTTCCTTTGCTTGACTCACTGCTTGATTTTATTAGCCCGTCCTTGTCTTAACATTAGCTTTTAGCTATTATGTGGAATTAGAGAGTATCTAATGTGGGCGTATATCTCGGCTAGATGAAGTATTCTGCCGGCCCACTTAAAATATAAGTACTTTAAAAAGCCAACTATAGGAAACAACTGTGTGACTAAAAGTGGGTAGGCATGGCATGTCATAAAAACTAATGAGTCTCAACTTACGGATCTCATAGGCTTCTCATCTGTCTTTCACAAGGTATTTGTTCTCAACTGATGTATTTATGACAAGTTTCATAAATATTTGTCCATGCAGCACAGAATTCCCCAGAGCTACAAAAGAGACACCGAGGCAAAAAGCAGTGTTTTCTCTAACAGCAAAAACACAAAATTATCCTGTGGAACTTCTTGTTTCTGCTTATATGTGTGACTGATGTTGTGGTTTGGTGTAGCAGAAGGAAATCCACTCACTTCTAGGCTGAGGATGAGGAAAAGTTCAGCTCAATCTTAGTCTGCCATTCACAGGGGAAAACCAGCCTTGTGTGGTGCTGATTAGGAAAAATTAGGATGAGATAAAGGCAGTGAGGAAGTTTTACTATTTTCCATTCTTTTGTAGGAAGAAGCACTTCAGCACTCTTAAGATGATTCTTTATTCAGAGGTTTTTTTATTAACTTGGAGAAAATATGTACATCCCCGGGCGTTCTGAGTGACTGAACGGAAGGGTGAATTTCCCAACTTCAGTAAACAGTTTGCTTCAGCTGTGTTGGAAAAAAACAGCAGCTCTGCTGCTGCTGCTTGTTTTCTGGTTCTCTGTTACAAAGGATAAGAATCTACATGCTGTTTCTGAAAATGCATTTATGAAAGCCTTAATGCTATTCAATATGGATTCACATCTGAACTCTTCACCCCAAAAGTCTCCAGAGATTATCAGTTTCTCATCATTCACTGTCCAGATTACAGTTTGAAGCATGTAATTGGGTTTTACTTGTAGAGCTGTGATCAGGACTAAGAAGACAGCTCTGTGTGATTTATGTGAAAAGCATGTTAGTGGCTTACAATACGGAGGGGGATAGAGGAGGATGTTACATCAACTCTGAGTCCCACAGTGTACTTAAAAGGAAACTAAGAAAATGCTGAGGCCAAAGTCTAACTGTACAAAGTTGGAAAGCAATCATTTTGGGTTAGACTTGTTTAGCTGTGCTTAGACAGGAAAAGAGAACCAGATTATGAAGGAAATTCTCATCACAATACCTAGTGGAAATGGATTATAAATGAAAATTCAGATCTGCAGATAACATTTTCCATCTGATGCACGGCTCAGTCTCTTCCCATCTTTCCTCCAGGAAGATGTTCGTCTGCCCTTTTCTCTAGCTGGACAGATGTCCTTTTGTCCTGCACACATGAAGTATTTCTGACAGGCAGGCTTCGTCCTCAGGTGGTAACGCTTGCGTCTGAAAGGAGACAGAAATAAGCACGCACCTACGTGCTCTTCTTTGACAATAAGGGTCAAACGTTGGAAATACCACAACTCCACAGCGCTATTTTGAAACGTACTTTAAACTTCTGGCCCCAACCGCGCTTCCAGCTGAGGTGGGAGGGAGCGGGATGCCAGGGGAATGAGTTCTTTCTGCTGCTGGCATGCGGGTTCCGCACATGTGTGTGACGTGACTGCCGGCAGGCTCAGGCACCGTGGGGTTTTTCCACCCCTTTTTGCGGGGGTGCGGCGCAGAGGAGGCAGGCGCGGAGGGCTGGGCAGGGCAGGGCGGCGGGAGCCGGCCCGGCTGGCGGCCAGCATGGGGGCCGGGGCGCTGGCCATCCGCGTGAGTAGGGCGGAGAGCGGCCGGACTGGGAAAGGCGGGAAGCGGCGGCGGGTCCGTCTGGGGAGGGGAAGGGAGAGGGCGGCCTGGGCCCTGCCTGCAGCGCCTCGTCCCCAGCGCTCGGCTCTCGCGTCTCTCCGAGGCGCTGTTTAAGGAAAGCGAAGATGGATAAAGGCCGCTCCGGGCTTTTTGTTGTTGTTGTTGTTGTTATTGTTACATTTGTATAGCCCATACTTGAGGCCTGTGTGCGCGTTCCTGCCGTGCAGGGCAGCCCTCCCTCCGCTGTGTCGTGCTGTTAACTCAAACTTTGGAAGTGAAAATCGTGCGTTGTCCGTTTAATCTTCCGTGGACTCATCTATTTTGTAAAGAGATGGGTGAAAAGCGATGTTCTAACAAGTCGTTCAGCTTTCAGTTCAGTCGCGCACGTGCTGCTTGCTGTGAGGATTAACGAGGCGCTCACGGCTTTATTTATTGTACAGCTGCTTGGTAAATAATGACCTGTATTCACGACTTTTATGCTAGTAACACCTTTCACAAAGATCAGATAGGTACCTGGGGCCTCAGAACACACTTCTGCTCCAAGTATCCGTGTTCGGTGGGAAAGGCGCAGCAGACAGAAAGCAGTGAGCTGCCCGTTTGTGTTACAGCTGTAGGACAGGCGGGCTCAAAGGCAGCCCTGATGCAGACATTGGGTTTCGTTACCCATCCTAAGTGTGTGGCTCCGCATATTCATAGCTCTCAAGCACTTGTTTTTCAAAGAAGCAGCGTGCCTTTGTGTGGTGAAGTGCCAAGACCAGAGTCTGAGCAGTTCTTTGTGATATGTACAGAGAATGCTGTGCATTTCAGTAAGGCTTTTACTACCTGTTCATTAATAAAACACGGTAGGATTAAATTGATTTTAAGTGTCAGGTTCGTGGTAGCCTTCTTAAAGAGACTCATGAACTCTATGGTATCAGTGACCTACAGTTCCAGCAGTGTGATTCCATAGACATGAGGATTTCTGCTTGTCTGCATTAGCAAAATGATGCTTGGATGTATAGAGAGGTTGTAAATGTGGTGGGCTGTGCTGCTGCTCTTTGGCAGTCTTTGCAAACCATGGCACTGTATGCATATTTAGATTTCTGTGTTGCGAAAGTAGTCCTGAATTATGTTATTCCCTCGGGACTTACTGGATGTGTTCTCATGTTCTCTCTGCCACTGCAACTCAAAACTTGTGAGAATGTCTTCCAGATGTATGTCATGCCTTCAGAAGAAACTGTGGCATGTATGAAATTAAGGCTTTATTGTGATCTGACATTTTCCCCTAATATTATGTGTGATTGGATTACCTAGTTCTTTTCTAACCTTGAAATCTCTCTAATTAGATTTTAGACTTATCAGATACTAAATGTGTCGTAAAATCTTCCATAAGGGTTCATCTCACCTGACAGTGGCCAAAATGAATCTTTAGGAAATGCCATTTGGAAGAAAGATACAGTGAACCTGAGTGTGCTCAGAGACTGGCAGGTGTCCTGGAGACATCCCAAACTGATTGTAGTGTTCTGGGATTTTTTATGTGTGTGTTTGTTCTATTGCTTTTATAACCTACATGAACTGTGTGAGTTACAAAAGCAGTCTCTTGTGAGTCCCAGTTTCTTGTTATTTTAGTAACATACTTCCATGTAAGTGCGTCTTTCTCCCTTATCTTAGCTACAGACTTCTGTTCCTTTAGTTACTCTTGATTTTTCTTTAGTAGTTTTTTTTGTTGTTGTTGTTGTTGTTGTTTCCCACTTTACAGGGATTTTTCCTGGCAGTTAAAAGGAAGTAAGACCAAAAACTCCAGTTTTGATGGGTACCGTCATGTTGCAACTGTGCAACATTTTGTAGCAAACATGATTAATGCTTCTTCTTCCTGTGTCTCTTTAAGCAAAGCAAGTCAGCTGTGAGATTGAAGGAGGACATGAAAAAGATAGCCTCACTTCCACTGAATAAGCAGAAGGATGCAACCCGTCCAAAGGTGTTTGGTGTGAGTCTTCTGGAGCTCGAGCAGCAGGGACTGAGCAAGAATGGCATTCCAATAGTTGTGTGGAATATAGTTGAGTACCTGACCCAGCATGGTAAGCTGAAGGAAATCACTTTTGCATAGTAACATGTTTTACTGTGAAGATCTCCAAAAGGAGAAGCTTTTTCGTGATACAGAGGGTGAATGAGGTGTTGGTGCTAACCACGTGCAGAGGACATTACTGTTGCTTCTCTTCTTCCTTCTGCTCAGTATGCTATTTAATAGAAGGTTTACAGCATTATGGAGTAGCACGTGCTCATTGATAAGCTGTTTGGTTTTATCAACTGAACGTATTTCATTTTGAACCTTAGTGTAACTTTCTAGTTGCAAAACAGGTGACTTCTCTCACTTGTGGTAGTGAGAAGACGTAAGTATCTATAATTATATTCATGTTCACGTACACACCCATGAAAGTACATTGTTAAATACATGTTCTCACAGATTTTCAGTTAGATTTCAGTTATTCTTTATCTCCTCAGGGAGATAGGTATCCAATTCTCAGCTTTTCTTTGCGTTCATTTAATGAAATTTTAGTCTCCGTTAAGGAAATTAATCTCTTTGCAGAAAACTAGAATAGCATTGGTGCACAGATGTATCTTGTGCAGGTATTCAGCATTGGAAAAGATTTTGTGGAGGTAACTTCATCTTGTAAGAAGCTACATCAGTTTTTACCATCAGTTCTCTGTTTTAGCTGCTCAGCAATGATAATCCCATTACAGCGTCTTAAGATGCTGTGTTTTTATCTTGATGGACTCACAGAAGCTGTTAGATGCAAACACAGCTTGAAAGGTAGCTTAGATTAAATGAAAGCTTGAAACATAATTGTACCTTTATTCCATAGCAGTACCTTGCTTGATCTACTTCAACTTGCTTTAAAGTGATCTGCTAGAACAGTGAAAGAGCAAGGAGGGGAAAATGCCTTCAATCACTTAGCTGTAATCAAAACCAGAAGTTGACAAACCCTCTTGATTGCAAGCTGTGGGCTGTACTCTGTGTTCCATAAAAAGATTGCATCCCACTCAAGCATTTTCCAAATATGAACAAAACAAGCCAGATCTTCTATCTGCTGCAAAATTAGCTGGGCTTCTAAATGCCAAGGTGATTATCCAGCCTTGGTAAACATATAATCTACTCTCTTTCTTGAGAAAGATGTCAGAGATGCCCTCTTACTTGGGAATATTTTGAAAGGAGTGCTCTCTGCTTGCCTACAGTTTGTTTTGTGAACTAATGGGGAAGTTAACCCCGATAATGTTTTTAACAGTGCCCTACATATGAACTCAAACTATTTGGAGGAACAGTGTTCTGTCTGCAATTTGTTCAGCGTTGCCTCCTGTTCTGCACAGATGCAGTAAGAGACATTATAGGGCTTTTAAAAGTCAGGCCAGAGCCTCCATGTTCATGGGTGACTGATGTTAGCCATTTGAAAAAACTGAGCCAACTTTTGGGTGGCTGCATCCTTCGACTGAGTTTGTGATAAACTACTAATTTTCAAATTTGTAGGTGAAGCCAAGTTTTCCTATGCTGAATTTGGAAATATCTCATTACTGTTCCCAGTAGGTTCTAGCCTCTCTTTATTTCCATAGGAAGTTTTATCTGCATGGCCGCTCTGCTCTGTTTGTTCGCTCTGTGCTGCAGGAATGAGTGACTGAGATGTGGTGTTTTCTGTCGCCCCCCAGATGGCAGTATAGCATTTTTTATGTGTTTTCTTGTAGCTGCAGGAATACAGGGTCTGTAAGCAGTGTCTTACATTAGTTGAGTAAAATGCTTCAGTATTTAAGTGTTTCCATTTTTTTCTTACTAGATCATTTGTTTCGTGGTCCAATTAAAGAGATTACTTCTTTCTACAAACTCTGCTGCATCAATATTGACTTTATGGACTGGAAATTTCTGTCAGACTCCTGCTTAGTAATGACTATTTCTGAACTAATAAAAACCATACATCGTATATTTTGGTCCTCTTAGTGTTCTGCTTCTAAAGAAGAATAAGCAGGCCTATGCATACAGGATCAGAGAAAAGCAGAAAACACTTTCTGTTTTATGATGAAAGTGTTTTAGTGAAAAATGAATTTTTCCTCAGTTCAGCTTTAGGCACTTGTTTTCCTTGTTTGAATCTCAGCATCTGCCTAGAAAGTGATACAGTATGATTCATCTGGCTTCCTCTGTGGAAACCTTCACTGGGTGTGGGTTGTCTGGCCTGAAGTGATGGATACTTTTATTTTTCATTGTGAAATCTTTAGGCTTCATGCGATTAGAAATACACACTTGCTCTCAGAGATTTTATTCTAAAGTGAATTTGCAGTAATTATTACAGAGTTACTGCTGCAAGCAGCAAGTATTCAGCTGTTTTTGCTTCACGATGGTCGGTAAGGCTACCCTAAAGAGCAAAGCTGGAAATACTTGCATGAGTAGTGTCATGCCTTGGCACAGTCATTAAAGCTAATGGGCTACTTGCAAAGTTGAAATAACACAGCTGTTTGGTCGAGTCTGGTTCCTTTTCAGCGCCAGTGTAGTGATGCAAAATTCAGCCATCTCAATTGGTTTCTGCTTGGTATGAAGTACGTAAGTCACTCTAAACATAATGCCTTCTGTATATTTCCTTGGAAACTACAACAGATGCAAAGAGCACAATAATACTGTTTGATAGAGCAAATTCTCAACCATGAAACACCATTTCTCAATGGAGTCATCACCAATAGCTATGCATTTTCACCTGCAATTAACAAGAGCCTGCCTGCTACACAAGTAAAAAATGTGCACCAGCAGAGCTGATGCACTGTCGCTGTGGCCACTGCTGAAGCACACCACCCACTGCCTCACTGTGCTCACATCCACTGTTTGGGCTTCATAAATGTTCAGAAAGCATTAATAAATCTCAATGGACACCATTTTTTCTGCATGGAGGAATTCAGTTATGCACTTTCGCTTCATATGAGCTTCCATGTCAGACACCATTCTGTCAGATTGCCCCTCTGCTGCCAGCTGTCACACAGCAACAAAATGTAATGGGGATATTGGTGGGAAGGTTCAACCTCTGCTGCCTCTTCCACCATCATCTGCCTCTTGACACTGTGGGCCAATGGTGTAAAATAGGAGGCATTACTGTTGGAACAGCGTTCATATCTTATAGGTTACAGCGATGCCACTGGGTTCTGTGGATTTTCATAGAGTATCCCAAGCCTCAAGATCTGGTCATTGGTCTTAATTATCTGAACCCAAGTACTTGACTAGCAGGGTTTCTAGGGGAAAGTAGTATCTTTTCAATCCTCATTGTATTGATTGTCCTTTGTATTAATGCTATAGTATTATTCACGCTTGAATGTCTGTTTCATCATATCACTGGGGTGTCTTAGTTCAGATTAACCTCATGTGTAACATACAATTACAGGTATGACCCAGGAAGGCCTTTTTAGGGTAAATGGGAGCATGAAAACAGTGGAAGAGCTGCGTCTGCAATATGAACGTGGAGAAGAGGTGGAACTAGTTAAAGATGGCGATGTGTACTCAGCAGCCAGTCTTTTGAAATTGTTTCTGAGAGAGCTGCCAGATGGGATTATCACCTCTGCCTTACAATCCAAGCTCATTCAGCTTTACCAAGGTAAGTGAGAGGTAAAAGTCTCCATCCTTCTGTATGCTTTCCTTCGGGAGAATTTTATACAGCCAGCGTAAGCAGTGCTCTCTTTCTTAACTTACTTTCTTCCACAGTTCCTTTGACTTCAGCTCTCACCTGCTCACAGGGTGCATTCTGATAGAAATTCTGAGTCTTGTCATCTTCTGTATTTGGTGAAATCTGAATTATTTATGCTTTTCTAATCTGGTTCTATCTGCTAAATAGGAGCTGAAATGATTAGTTGGTTGGTTGGAAGAAGCTTGGAGACAATAACTGCGACAGTCTCTCTAGGACACAGATTTGCTTCTGCTCAGCTAGAGAGGTTATTGGCAATTTCACTCTTTCTAATGGGCTCTGAAAAGTTCTAACAACTTCATCTGCTAATCATACTTAATATCCATCGAGTCCCAAAGCATATGCTGTCTAAATTTCCACTTCTCACCAAGTGATGTAATTGCCCATCAAACACAAGCCAGTTTGCAATTAGAACGGACTTTACCCTTTAATCCTGCTCATGTCATACAACCTGGAAGATTTTTGTTATTTTTATTTTTTTTCCCTTCAAGAGGATAAATGCTTTAGAAAGTTGTAACTTGCACAACTGTCTGTCTGATGATTCGTTGAACTAATCTATCTGTATTGGGCAGTCCAGACTGCTGCTATGCAGACTAGGCGGTCTGTTCCTGGACCATCTGGGTCAGTGGAAGTTCTTTTGCTGCAGGCAGTTGATGCCTCTCACTCTCTTCCTGAGAAGCTCTGCGAAGTGTGTGGGTACGTATTGCTGGAGAAATGCTCTTTACTGTAAAGCAGACCAATATGATGTGTGTGGAGGAAGAATGTGCTGACAAACGTCTTCAGTGGAAGACAGCACAAAGATTTCACACTGTTGTCCTTGGGTCTCTCTCCCACTTCTCTTGCCTGCAGTAGAAATGAAGCTTAGCTGTTGCCTGGAGCAGGGAGGACACAACCATGTCTTTCCTTCCTTTATTGTTTGGGACTGTACAGACTATTGAGGGTGCACTGGAGAACTTTCTGTCTTTCCTGAGCGCAGTCATTAAAGCTATAATCAGGTCATACGTGGGCTGTGGGGGCTGGAACTTTCTCTGTAAAATAACAGTTAGTAAAGTTGTCTGGGACCCAAGGAAGGGTTCAGGAAGTATTGGGTAGGAAGGTGCTGTTGCTTAAGAAAGTCCCTTTTTTTTTGGCATAGCAGTGTCTTTTGGATTTAACCATATTTGACTCATGAAATATATTTCATTATGTTCTTTCTCTTAAATCAGTGTGAGTGGAAAGTTGTGTGTTCCTGCTGCTACTTCCCTGTCCCGCACGGAGGACGTGTTGCTGTATTGCACCAGAAACTATCAATGAACTTTGTGAACTGTGCTGATAGTGGAAAGTTTCATCCATTCTTGCTTCCCACAGGAAATGCAAAATCTCCCCAGTGCTTTCTTTGGAAATGACAGATGCATATCCTTACGTAGCAGACCAAGATTTGTTGTTTCAAATAGAAGTTACTCAGCTCTCTCAAAGTCATCCAGCTGTAATGCATCTTCACAGTTAAGTTGACATGTATTGCACAGCAGTCCCTGCTTATAGTCCCACTATAAATTTGATTAGGAAACAGAAGTTTTATTTACAAAAAAAAAAAAAAAAGAGCTGTTATGACAAAGGGGAAGTCTTTGGAAAAGTCTGAGGAAAAACGAGTTGTTTGGCTTTGTTTTCATGCCCTAGAAAATACAGCTTAAATTGAGTTGCTCTGAAAGGTACTGATGACTTTGGTGGGGTTCAGATTAGCTTCAGTGGGAGGCCAACCTGTGTTTACCGTTAAATGATCAACCAGCCATGCAGGATTGGAAGAATTATCTATTCACTTATCAAAGTATGTGCAAAGGTATTTGTTGCAAAATGGTACCAGCAGCGAGCCTGCCTTAGTGTTGTTTTTCTGAACTATGAATCAAGTGGGTCAAGGTGTTTCTGAGCCCAAAGGTTATTAAAAAATAACTTGTAATCTGGAGCCACTTAAATGTATGGTGACAATGAAAGCAGTTACAAGCTCTCTTGCAACCTCTGTCCTTCCTCATGTTGAAGTTTGTGTGGGAAATGGTTTTTTTGTAATTATGTTAGAATTCTTTTAAAATATTTTCAGGGATTGATATCAGCATCTTTCAAGCCAGCAAAAAGCTTGGCCTGAGTATAATACGCAATTACTTTTTTTTCCTATAAAAATTGTTAGGGAGTGTTTTCTCCAGTTAAAAATAGCTGGAGTGAAAATTACAAATCTTGCCTGAAGCTGTGATCCTTTTTAATGCAGAGTGTAGTGTCCTTATTAGCAAGCCAGGGAATAAATGATCTGCACTTCATCAAAAAAGAGAAACCTGATCCATGGGTCTTTCGGGAAGTCCACACAGCTGATTTGGCATGCTAGCAGAAGCCTGTATAACACAGCATGAAGTCAGCACCACATGGTGCCCACGGATCTGACACATTACTGTCTATATAGATATTCAGAGTAACTCCAAGACTGTGCAGTTCCACAAGCCATCACGTAGTGTATCTTAAAGGCAGTCTGGTGCGTCCTCGTGTTCTCTTTCTGTCTTTGGAGAAGGGCAGCGATGGGGTGTTGAGAAGGGCCTTGATCTACAAATGGTGTTAATGAGAGATGTGTGTAGTATGTGCAGGCCAGGGACATGCTGATAGTCATCTCAGTATTGAGTGCCCCTCCAGCATGCCTGACAAATATGAATGCTGCTCCTTTCAGGGGGTCCTGGGGTAAAAAACATCCATCACAAAGAGGCTGCAACTTTGCTAGAGAGCAGGGCTGTGCTTGCCCAAGCAAAATGGGCTTGCAAACCTGTGACAGCCCTGGGTGACTGAAAGGTATTTCTTTCATGCATCTCCATTGGAAGTAATCAGTGGCTCCCACACAGCAATCCCTATTTGAGCTTGTTTATTCCTTCTGACTTTTCATTCCTTATCTTTTACAACACAGTCACTGACTCCTAAGACTTTTGTACATACCAGAACCAGCTCTGTATGCTCAGCTCTTATCCCCTTTCACAGGTCACTTGCTTTTAGTGAGACAGGTTGCCGTTGTACTTTTCCTTTTTGGCTTGCAGAAAGCTTTTCCTTTATGTGATTTTTGTTGGTTTGTTTTTTGGTGCATTCCTTTCTCTAGCAAGGAGCAAAATGGAGGCTTGTAGCTACCTTTGGCACTCAGTCTAATTAAGTTGGATGCTGTTTCATTACTCTGGGCTCTCAGTGTTGCTCCATTTGAGATAGCTTGTATTTTACAGTATGCAGCAGCTAGATGTGAGTTCTGTCTCACATACCCCTCCCTCGCAGGTTGCTGTGGCTGATGAGGGTCTCTGTACTGCCAGTGCTCTGCAGGTTTCAAGGAGAAGGGTGGGAGGGAAGGAGGAGCTCTTTCCTGAATCAATAGGTTGGTTTCTGAAATGCTTGGTAGCTGGGAGCTATTGGAGTTACGTGAGCAGGCAGAACCCAAAATAAAGGCTGTGTTAGGGGATTTTAGAGGTCAAGCTTGAACCTGAGCAGTGGGTATAAAAATGAATAAATGAGAGCTGGCCCTCTGATGAGCAAATCAGATTCCCTGGTTGTCTGTGGTTCTCCAGGCTGTAACAGCATATTCTTAACCTTTTCCTTTGGCCTTTATTGTTATTTTGACACTGTCTTTCAAGTTTGGAAATGCTAGTGATATCTTGTGTTCTCTACATGCAGAAGTTGTTGTGCAGTGAAATGTCTTAGAACCAGCTTTCTCATACAATGACAGCTCTCAGCAGAGCTGAGAAGAAATCGTGGGGCAGCTGTCCCCAATGTGTAGCGATGGAGGATAAATGCAGCTCCATGAAGTGCTTTAGCAATTGTGAGCAAGTGGTCTCAGGTTGGATTGTGATGACAACATTTTTATGATGAGAACTTTCTGCAGTTCTGCTACCGATGACAACAAATGTGATATTTTTCCCTCTGTCACAGAGCCTTGTCTGAGGCTCTGTCAGAGGCTCCAGTCCTACTTTCTGTAGGCTGTGGAGGAAGAAAATAAAGGCTTTGATTCCTCCAACAACCTGGCCTAGCTAGCAGTGTGCTTTGCCAGCATGCTGCCTGTGTGCCCAAGATTGACTTCCAGGGGAACGTTGACAGCTAGAAACAGATGCAAGCTTTTCTGTCTGCCCTCCTGGATGGTAATATGTAAGGCAGCTGAAAGCTATGCAGACATGGTAGCGTGACACCGAGCTCAGACTCTCTTCCTTGCATCACAACAGAGGTAATTAGCTGTAGCATGGCACCGTGCTGATACTGTGTCAGTGCTAGGCTGGAATTTTTTGAGGTCAGACCATCTGAGTCATGCACAGAGCAATTACACACACCTGTCTGCTGACATCTGTACCTTTACGTGATGTTCAGACAGTGTGCTCTGTAGGGTGAAGGAGCATCATGCAGATGGATTGATTGAGGAAGTGGATGGTGTCTATAGCATGTCAAAGAAACTCAGTACGTACAGAAATAGGATGGACCACTGGAAAATATGTCCCTCTTCTTGTGATCTGTGGGTGTATGATGAAATTAAATGAGTCTGAAAATACCCCTGCAAATTTATCTTTGCCTCCTACACTGTTGAGGCTCCTGTTTCCAGTTAATTAACATTTTTAAGAGATTGCGTTTTTTTTTTTTGGTCGCCTCTTGGACTGCTGTCCCACAGTAGTGAGTACCCAGCAAAAGATCCACATACCAGGCAAAGTTCTGTGCTTGACAATAGCAAGTGTGTTGATGGCTGAGGGTATTTTTAATATGTTTTAATTATATATCTATGATTTAATGCGAAATATTATTTAAATATAGGTTCTTGAATTGCCTTTGAAAGTCTGGCACTCTGCCATTTTGATTACTGGCAAACACATTTGTCTCATCTCAAGATGCTGCAGAGACCAAAGTACATAGTCAGCTTCGTGCCACCCTCTGTCATCTTACTTAATGAGTAAGACAGCTCTTGATACAGTCTTGACTTCCTCAGGACATCTTGTACCTCACAAAATTAGGCAAGTACATCAGCTCAGGGCTTTGGCAAACTTGATGCTTGTCTGGTTAATAGTATAAACAGCTCTGGTGCTCTAATGTTACTTTGATGGTCAGTACCAGCTGAGTAAACCTTAGTGATTAATTTTGAAGCTGAAAAATTGTCTAGCAGGTGGACAGAAGAAGAAAGAGAGCTCCGGGCAATTGGCTGCCATGGCTCATGAAAATTCTTGCTCTCTAATAAGTTGAAAATCTGTTTTATTTGAAGTATTGTGGTTATGGACAGCTTAGATTCATTTGTCCCCCCAAAAATGAGCAAAGTGCACAGAATACTATATGTATACACATTGCTTTTTGAATTCATCACAATCATCAGCTTAATTAAAAACTTTTTGAAATAGAGCTGAACTCTGTGAAATAAGTCTCAGCAACAGGACAGTTAACAAATGATTTTTGAATTGCATTAGGGGGAAGATTTGACTTTGTTCCCTCCACTTTTCACTGGAGACTTGGGGGCCGGGGCCCCCCAAGCTTTAGAGGGCTGTATTTTCTTGTTCTGCTTTCAGCAGGACAAAGAATTTCACAGCTCCGTAAATGGATTTTTTCTGTGTCCTCAGTGTTCTGCGTGTTGCTCAGTGGTTCTGTGACTTTCAATTAGGGTAATTCCTGAAGATCTTATGGCCTGATTTGCATCTCTGTTCTTAGAAGAACAGAAGTGAAAGCAAAATGCACCTGATACTAATAGTATCAGTAATAGATACAGTAATGAGGAGAGAGCAAAGGTTTGGCTGTGCCTAGCAGTAAGCATCTCTGGTGTTACTCCACACCACTTAATATATCGTGTTTAATGAACAAGGACATCAAGCTCCCTAAATACAGCTGATATCATGAGGCCACCAGCTTTCTGTGTAGTCAGAGTGCAGACCTGTGGAGATTATTAGCATCTTTCCAGTTTTGGAGGAATGGAAAATCCTTCAGTAAATGGAAAAGTACCTGTCAGTCTAAAGCCCCAGTGTGAGGTTTAGAGAGGCAATTAGTTCTCAAGGGCATTACCTAATTAAGTGATAGATTGATGGTGGTAGATATGTTTCTTTCTATGTGATGGCTTTGGCATTCCTCATACTGGGAAAAAAATACGCTGTGTGCTGGTTGCTTTGTTACCTAAACAGAAATATGTTACAAGGTGAATTTCAGTGTTCTAGGTGAAAATTAGTTGTATATTGTTTTTCTTTAAGCTTAATGAAAAGGAAGGTAGTTGGTAATCAAGTCAGGGACTGTCCAGTTCACTTTGATTGGTGCAAACACAAATGCAATTAAATTCCTTATTGTTGTCCAATGTAGTAAAGCCTTCTGGAGCCATCCTCAAATTTTGCTGCAGAAGTGAAATTAATGAATCAGATTTCCTCCTGTTACCAGCTGATTCACAGTAATGAAATCATGACAATTTTTTACACATATATCTCAAAATATTTTTGAAAGAAATACTTAAGTAGACAAATTTTTGCATGTTTTCTTCATGCATATTTGCCTTCTCTGAAAGAGCTAATATTTTAGCTGCTGCAGAAAAGGATGTAGCAGATGAAATCCTGGAGTGTAAACTGTGTGTACTGACAAGTACATACATACAGAAAATCATTTGCTTCCCTAATGATATGTAGGATAAATACATATATGCATATCTGTGTATGTTTTTTCTCCTCTTGTGTCTTCTAGATGGTAGAAATGACATGCAGAAGGAAAGAAACTTGAGAGAACTCCTTAAAGAACTGCCTGATGCTCATTACTGCCTGTTGAAGTATCTGTGCCAGTTCCTGATAAAAGTTGCTGAACATCATGTGGAGAACAGGATGAACATTTGCAATCTTGCCACTGTATTTGGACCAAATTGTTTTCAGTAAGTTGGGTTTTTTACTTTTCCCTTTATATTGATAGAAAGTTATGAGGCAGATAATGGAAAATATAGCTGAGAACCCTAACAGCAGAATGATCAGAGGCAATGTCTGCAGCTTTCTGGTATTTTTGGTACTTAAGCTAATTTTTGAGCTGACAGGGAATTGAGTTGCTCTCTCATCTCCTCTTGCAAATCTTGTACAACAGTTAGCAAGTTTTCCTTTGCGTTGTTGGCAGCAGTTAAGGTGAACACAATGGCTGGCCTCCAGATTGTTTAGGGGCAAGGAGACTTCTGTTTTTACAGCTTTCTTCCTTTGCCATTGAATAATATGGATGCTTCTCTGCAGAATGATTTGAGGAAAGTGCTTATAGGCAAAAAAGGTCTTGGATGCAGCACTCAGGTGCTGTGTGCTTTCTAGCTCTGCTGATTTGTGAACTTGTGGCTGTTTTCAATACCAGAGATAAAGAGAGGGCTCTTTATCATTCTAGTTTATTTTGAAACTGGGCTAGAGGTTGTGGGGAACCCTTGGCCTTTTGAGACTTTTTACTGGATTCATTAGTTCTACTCGTTTCATTCAAAGGGCTCAGTTTCTTGCTGCTTCTGAAGATGATGCACTGTGTGTGCTGATGGGGTTGGAAGCAGTATCAGGAAGAACTATTTCCAGATGTGAGAATGCACTCAAGTAAGATTGTAGCCTCCAGAAACAGGCTTCTTTAAAGAGAGAGAAAACAGTAGGTGTGTTGCTAGTGATGTACTGAGCCAGTTCTACGTAGACGCTGCTTGCTCTCTTCTTAAAGGACCACAGATTTTTCTATTGAGTGGGGAGAGAAACTGCAAAGATGAGACTGAAACCAAAGGTTGTCCTTTTGACTATACTGCCACCTCATCTTTCTCATAGATGATGAAGATGACTGTGTCAAGATATGAGCATGAGAGCATTTGCTGTCTTAATATAAAGCCATAAAGCATATTGTGGGAGGAAAAAAAAAAGTCTTCCCCTCTAAAAGAAAGAAAACTCGAAGACAGCAGTGTGTACAGGCACATACAAGTAGAAGAGTTAGTGGAAACAGCACTAGAGATTTTTGAGAATAAAAAAGTAAGCTTTTAAAGATTGCATTTGTATGAGCAGGCTTATTTACACGGGGTAGAGTTTTAAAGTTAGGGAGTTTACATCTAGATGTATTAGTGGGCTTAGATTCATCTCATTTAATTTGCTTGTTCCTGATTCTAGTGGCTAAATCTCTGTGATTTGAACTCCCAAGTAGCTATTTGAATAGTTGTTAGGTTACTCATCGCTTGGTTGAGGAAAGTTTAGAAAATTAGCTCTGCATGCTTTTTGGCATAGAATGCAGAGCCCTGCAGTTCGGAAATACAATTGGCTTTCTTAAGATTAAATCATACTAATAAAAGCTGTATAGTCGTTGCCTCAACTTATCTCTGCTCATAAGATTGCATAGAAAAGGCTCAGCAGTTTCTGTAAGGTATAGGCCTGGGTGTGAAAGGCAAAGAATCACATCATTCCATTTCAGAAGACTGGGAAAGGCAGAGTTCACATAAGATTGAAGACACAAGGTCTCTTGTGGATGTATACGAATGCAGCCAGCCCTGCAGTTGTGATGCATCAGAATGCATGCGCAGCAGAAGAGGCAAGACTTGACACATAACAGATGAGTAATGTACTTTTACAAGATCCAAATATTTCAGAATGCCGGATGTAGAATTTTGTTTAAGCTCCACCATCTGGTAATTCAGCTGCATGTTTTATCAGATCTTGATCTTTTCTAGGCAGTTCAGGATTGTGGTCCAGACACATTTGTGAGCAACTGTTGAAATGCCCTTTTCTCCTTTGTTAATGAATGCATTCTTGAATTGATGATACTGTGGCCAAATCAGCAAAGATTTGCCAAGAGGGGGAAAGGATTTGTAGCGCCCAACTTTCAGCGTTGGGCTTAGCCTGCTGTTTAGCTGCACATCTGGAGAGAGATCTTCAGAATGCAGTTCAGAGCAAGTCTATCTGAAATCTTGCCTTTGCAGGGGCTGTCTTAGCATTGACTACAGGCAGCTCCTCGAGAGATTAGCTGAAGAAATTGACTATGAGGTGATTGAACCAAACTTGAACTTTGCTTCATTTGTTTAGAGCAGAGCATGGAGTGTTTTGCTGGAATGAGTGTATAAGGCTTAGCAGCCAACAATTGTCAGCAATTGCACTGCTGAGGTAGGAAGATTTGAGATTTTTCTGTCAATTCACACGTCCAAAATCAATGTCTGTTTAGTAAATGCTTAGAGTCAGAGAGGATAAAGTCCATCTTGCCTTCTACAGGATGTTCTTAGTGACATTTTAGCTATTTAAGTGTATTATTTCCAACTCAGTAACTGAACCTTTTTTTTACAGTTGTATAAACCTCACAATTGGGCAACTTTCCAAACAGACTTTATTTCAGTTCCTTTCATCTCATTCATTTCTTCTCCATCAACTTCTCAGTATTTTTTCTAAATTCCCAAACTTTCAGTCTTATCCAGCTTTTCTCTTGCTTCCTGATTTGCTGTTTGATAAATCAAACTTACATTCTTCTAATGAAAGGTTATCTTTTCTGTATTTATGAATAGAAGAATGGAGAAAATGGCTATTTGCAATCCTTGTAGTGAAGTGTGATGTAAAATATGGGAAAAGATAAAGGACAAGGTCAGACAGCTCAAAAAAGGAAAATGCGATGATTTGAGATTTAGTGCACTGTTTTCTCCCAGCTTGGATTTGTTCGGATTTATTGCTGATGGAAGCAACAGAAGTATTGACCTTGGGAGACAGCAAGCGTGGAGGAACATTAATTATTGGCTTTTCTGTTATTGGCCTAATCTGTATGGAGGATTAATGCTTGCACTGTGGCTGCTCTTGGAGGAAGATGCTGACCCAGATTTCACATACTAAGGATATGACTGTACAGTATGGCCTGGTATGTGTCTCTGTTTTGCTCCCACAGTTAGTGTTGAAGAGGAAGTGCAGGACCAGCTGAGTACTCTCTCCTTCTATCTCTTCTGTTGGGTCAGGGTGTCAGGAAGGCCGTATTCCTGTCCTTTGACTGGGATTTGTGTAAGAGATACGAGGCCATCAATTATGGAATAAACAGGAAATTTTTTGCACCTTTTTATTTGCTGTTCTTTTCAGCTCTCTCTCAAAGAATGATGTGTGTTTGTTGCCTCTGTGATTCAGACTTTCACTGGCATAATGGTATTTCATTCCAATAGAAGTGTGATGTGAAGGTTTGCTCAGCTCCTCAAAAGGGGCTGGCAAATGCGTGTGTCTGATTCAAATGCTGCTGTTTGCTGTGTAGCAGTTGGATGATCGTGTAAGGACCTGGGAGGTTTGCTGATTTGGGCTGCAAAGGGCCAAGTATCTTTAGTGATGATGGGTTTTCTTCTCAGTGCTCCCCTGCAGAGTTCAAGCATTTTATCTGCCCACTTATCCTCCAGATTCACTCGCTCTGGTCAGCGAGGAAGAAGGGTCATGCAATACAACTTCTGGAACTGTGGCAGAAAGAAAATGCTGCAGAACAGTTGTTCTTTGGAGATACTTCTTTTCTGAACATCAGAGTGAATGTTCCCTCCAAAGTAATGCAACTTAAATGCACTGCTTGCATTGCATCCCCCCAGTGTTATTCCTTTGAATGGTGGGAATATAGTACTTACAATACTCTGCTTTGATGGCAGAACAAGGGCTTCAAGGATTTCTTTTACAAGGATTTATAACACTGGAGTATTTCTATCTTTTCTCCTACAGAAGACTTTACAAGGAGGAGATTGCAGGGAAGAGCTTTATGCATCTACCTGAGTCCTTACTGGCTTGGGTTGAAAATGGTCTTTCTTCAGATCTTGATGCAGAATTAAGAAAGCATACACTTACAGTTTAAGTGGAGGAACAATTTTACAGGAAAAACAGCAGTAATATTTTTGCACTTTGTCAAATTGTGGCCTTGGTAAAGTTTCAGTTCAAGTCCTCCTTCCCGCTTCTTCTCACTCTCACATCTGTATTGCTGCTACAGTTTTTGTGCTGAGACAGGTCTGGAAACAAAATTCACAGTTTCTTGCATCTTGTCCTCCTGAGTCTCATACAGGGGAGCACATCCAGTCATATGAAGCAGTGGGTCATTTAAAGCTACTGCCCCTGCTTTCTGCCAACCTTAGCCCTCTGTGCAAAACTGAATGGTGTTTGAGCTCCAATAGCTCCATACGGAAACATTTCCCAGGAACATTTTTGAAACACCTCAGAAATTAGGTGAATAAATGCAGTATACCTTATGGAGTCATCTTAAGCTACAGAGACCTTGCCTAACAGTGTTCTACTCAGCATGTGGATTTTGTTATTTTTGTGACTTATCATATACCTTTGTGGTCATCACAGATCACTTCCCCAAGGAATCTGACCCTTCCCATTAACAGTTCAGAGAATTTGAATGCTTCATACTGTTTGTACCTCACTCTTGGAACCAAATTTTAACAAAACTGGTGGTATCTTACTTGGAAGTTGTCTCAATTAGATCTCTGCCTAGACTATGTGGAGTAGATTGTTTGATTATGTATAGAAACTATTGAATCACGGCCTGAACCTCTGATTGATCACCTGAGGCAAGCACTGAGTCAGCCACGAGAGCACAGGTGAAGGCAATTCAGCTGTGTGATCAGGAGAGGTGAAGCCTGGCTGCACCTCTCCTAGACCCCATTTAAGGGCTGACTACCACTAAGGAGGGATCTCTCTCTGGAGATCTTTCTCCTTGGAGTTTTTGTTGTGAGCCCGGGACACAAGTAAGTTTTTCCATTCATTTCCAATTATCCCTTTCCAATTATCCCTTTTCAACGTGACAGTCTTTCCAGCTATACACTCTCTGAAGACTAGCCTAACTTCTCTGTTAGGTTATGCAGACGAACAGATAGAGAGGTTAATATTGCTCAGAAAAACTGCAAACAAACCATAATAGTTGTTACCACTATGGATATGTTTCTTTTCTACCAGAGAAAATTTCCTCTGCCTGCTATCCAACCTGTATCCATAACTGAAGCACTACATAGATGCTGTGCAAAAGCATTTCCCTTCTGAGTATCTAACATTCTGCTTCAAATTCTGTCCAATTTTAGCGTGCCCTCTGGATTTGAAGGTATAAAAGAACAAGAGATCTGCAACAAAATAATGACTAAAATGCTTGAGAATTACAATACCTTGTTTGAACTGGAAGGTTTGAAGGAGGAAGAAAAGCCAGCATGTGAAGAGCTAGCAAGAATTATTCTGATTGAAGTGAGTATCTCTAATACTGTACTTTCTTACAGCAAATCAGTAGCACAGGCTCATTCCTGCTTCGTTTCAGAGATCTGTTAGGTAAGTGGTAGGTAGACACTGTCATGGTGGTGTTCTGTGTTAATAATTGGTATGCAGTATTACACATTGATCCTAATAGGCCAATTTTTATTACTAATTGGAAAGTTGTTTCTATTTAAGAGGTTTAGAATAGAGTGGTTCAGTTGCGAGGGTCCTTTAAAGATCATCTAACCCAACAGCCTGACTACTTCAGAGTTTACCAAAAATTAAGCATCTTACGAAGGGCTGAACGGTAACTGAATGCTGACAGCCAGATGATATCAACAGCTCACTAGGAAGCCTGTTCCAGTGTTTGACCACTGTATGGGAACTGCTGAGTCACGGCCTGAACCTCTGATTAATCACCTGAGGTGAGCCTTGAGTCAGCCAGAGGAGCACAGGTGAAGGCAATTCACCTGTGCTGCCGGAAGGGGTGGAGCCAGGCTGCACCCCTCCTGGACCTATTTAAGAGCTGGCTACCAGAGGGGAAGGATCTCTTCTGGAGATCCTCCTCTTTTGGTATCTTCTAGTGAGCTCAACCCAAGGGTAAGCTCTTCTACTTATTCTCTTTTGCGATCCTTGTTTGCTTTTGCCTTACTCTTTTGATTATATTGCAATTATAACATCTTGGTTATACAGACCACCCTCACAATAATGAAACTTTTCATAATGTGCAGTCTGAATCTCCTCTGATGCAGCTTTGTGCCATTCCCTTGTGTACCTTCGTCAGTTCTCAGGAAGAAGAGCCTGGCACCTGCCTTTGCTTCCCTTAGGACATTGCACAGAGCAATGAGGTCACCTCTCAGCCGTGTATTCTTCAGACTGGACAATCCAAATGTCTTCAGCCTCTCCTCATGCCTTCCAGCCAGTTAAGTGAAATCAGCTGGAATCTTCAGTGTCTTTAGTGTATGTTCTAAGATAGTCTACTGAATCACGATTACAGAGCAATCTGTACAAGTCATGCTAGCTGCCTCCAGGAGAATTCATTGTTTTCTCATGATGAACCAATGAGGAAAGAGTAAACCTGTTAGTCTTTTAGCTGTTACTAGCATTCATGTAAAATCCTTTTATGGAAGGAGATAAAATGGCTGATGACGCTTGCAGTGCCCTCCCTCATGTTTTTTATTGAAGATGTAGTGACTTCTGGGTAATTGAAGTGATCTGTAGCATAAGAAAGTTTAGCTGCTGATGGTAACTTAAGAAACAAAACTAGGTTAAAAAGGAAGTCATTTAAAAAGCCAGAGTACTTTAAGAAACCCAGTAGGAGGGCTTTTCAGGCCCTTTTCCATCTCCTTCAAGTCAGTTGCACAAGTCAAGGTAGTCTTTCACTTCTGAGGGCTTACAATTGATTGAAAATGCACAAAGACCTTGGTTATTTCCCACAGTAGCCATAAAAGGGTATGGTGACAACCAGAATTTTTCCTACAAATTAGTCTGAAAGATAAAGTTACTCAAATGAGATGAAAAATGTTGCTCAGTTCTTTGCTTTAGAAGAGAGATGAGTGGAATGAACCATTCCTAAAAACAAGGGCTTGCATTGTGCTTGTGTTTTTAGGTCTCGCTGATGGTTTCCAAATCCTGCTGGCAGTCTGCTATAGTAATTTCACTGTGTTCCTTGTCCGTGTAATTTGGATGAGTTTTCTAGCTTAACCAAGACAAATACTCAAACACAAGAAATACAAACATCTAATTTTACATAGCAAAGTGCTTGTTGAGATGTGTCAGATGGCTCCTTGAAAGAATGTTTTATACCATTCCTAAATGTTTCTTTTCTTGTATCCTAGCAGATATCCCTCAGCCTTGCCAATTTGTATAATAAATTAGAAATAGTGGACTGAAGGAGAAAACCAAGTGGCAATAAATGAGATTCAGTAGAGAAAAGTGATTGCCAGCTTGGTAATGCACTATCTGTTCTGTGTAGTAGGAGCCAGCTGATCCATGTCATAAAAGAACAAATACTTCACAAAGTTATTGATGTGACTTGGGTCACTGTCTAAAAACAGCAGGTAATTTATAAGGAAAGTTACTGCTCTTAAGAAGCCATTGATGAATTCATATCTTCAAGTAGTTAAAGCTGTTCCTGTTGGAAGGAATGAAAAACATAGGCTGCTCAGGAAAACACTTCCATAAACTGAGGCCTTATTGATTTTTATGGCTTTCACATTGAAGCATGAACTACGATGGAATAGAGGGGCAGACAGCGAGGAGAGGGAAGAAAATGAGGACTCATCACCAAGCTCAGCTGCATTTACTTAAGTGTCTTTTTCAGCTTTAATATTGTGAGCTGCAGGAGAGTGGGGAACTTGTTTCCTCCCTTCTGGTCCAGTAAGGATATTTGTCACCCTCCCACCCCTAGATCACTTGCTGTATTGCCAGTGTTTCATCTTGAGTTGCTGCACTGCTACTTTTCCCATGACTGCCTGTACTCTCTCGCTCCTTTCTCTCTTTCTCGCACTTACATTTTTGTCCTTAATTTTCGCAGACCTTTCCCACTCTTCTTCCTGTACTCAAATCCCGTTGACCCATTTTTTTCCCCACTCCAGGGGAAAAGCTGGCAATCAGAAGTACATCTTCAGTCCCTGCACATGCATACTGGAGTTTATCCACAGTCCATATTTATTTGTGACCATATTCTTTATTTTCTTAAATGTGAAGATAGCTGTTTGCTTAGGTTAGTATGGTGCTTGTGGTATGGTGACCTTCATATGTAATAGGGGGCTAGAGTTTAATGAGACTTTTCATTGGCAAACATTGCTGCCTCCTGTTCTCTGGAATGCTGCTTTTAATCTTCAAACCCAATAACAGTGGCTTTAAAAAAAAAAAAAAAAAAAAAAAGATTATAAACTTCACAAAATCCACTTTTCTAAACTCTCTGGTATGCCTTTCCAGTGTATTGAATTACAGTAGTAGCCCTGCTTTTGCTAACCTCTTTTTTTTTTTTTTTATGGCTGCAGACACTATGGTGCTGCAAACTGGGAACTTACTTTCAGTTAGTGTCTAAAAGCAGTGTGAGACTGTTATTTCTCCTTCAATTCTCTGTTGTCATCATATCATCCCCTTATTACCATGTATTTTTTTAAAGCTATCATCAGCCCTAAATCACGATGGTACAAATACCTAAACTCATTGCATCCCATCCCAGGGTGGGTATGTATTTCCACTCTTCCCCAGTGGTGTTTACCACCTTCCTGAACTGGCATGTCTCTTGACACCTTATGATCTACGTATCGTAACATTTTCCCACACTTTGCAATGAAGTCAGTGGAGTTTTCAATGAAGTACATCTCTTCTATTCAGCACTAGTGAGGCCGCACCTCGAGTACTGTGTCCAGTTTTGGGCCCCTCACTGCAAGAAAGATATTGAGGCCCTGGAACGTGTTCAAAGAAGGGCAACAAAGCTGGTGAGGGGTCTGGAACACAGGCCATATGAGGAGAGGCTGAAGGAGCTGGGAATGTTCAGCCTGGAGAAGAGGAGGCTCAGGGGAGACCTCATTGCTCTCTATAACTTCCTGAAGGGAGGTTGTAGTGAGCTGGGGGTCGGCCTCTTCTCTCGTGTCATTAGTGATAGGACCAGGGGGAATGGTTTCAAGCTACGGCAGGGGAGATTCAGGCTGGACATGAGGAAGTATTACTTTTCAGAAAGGGTGGTCAGGCACTGGAATGGACTGCCCAGGGAGGTGGTGGAATCACCGACCCTGGGGGTGTTCAAGGAAAGACTGGATGTTGTGTTGAGGGACATGGTTTAGTAGGAGCTATTGGGAATAGGTGAACGGTTGGACTGGGTGATCTTTTAGGTCTTTTCCAACCTTGGTGATTCTATGATTCTATGATTCTAAAATGTAACCAAGAACACGTGCATCATGCATATAAAGTCACAAAAACCTCATACTTTGAGGAGTGTCTTGGGAAGGAAAAGCAGCACTTAAGTGGAGCATGTTACCTCTTGTTTACTGTGCTGGTCATGGCAGCACAGTAGGGGAAATCCACAGTGTGCTACAATCACACCAGTTTCAAAGATTGCTCAGTCACTGGGAAAGACAAATGGTGCCAGTTAAAGGGATTTCTTTGCTTGCTTTCTCACTGGATAGTTCAAAACGTAAGGGAGCAAGAAATTTCTGCAAGTTGCCTTCCAGCCCCTGCTTTGTTCTCAGGACTGTAAAACCTCCTCTCACTTGTTGTTCAGGCATATGGTAATATTATAGTCAGAAATGCTGGGCAGCTTTTCTTTGGAAAGCTGTGTTTAAAAACAAAACGAGTACCACTTTCACAAAATGACGTGCATTGTGGAACAGATCCTGTTTCCCTGGGAAATTGAACTATGAGGTTCCTGGTGTGTGTGTGTATGTGTGTATATATTTAATGTAGCAGGTTTCATTTGTAGCTATCTATCTTTAAAGAGTACCTTCTAAGCTTCAGTTTAATTTCGAGACCCAGTGAAGGTCTGGAAGATTCTTAGGCTGTTGATTGACAGGATCTACTAATTAGAAACAGGTGGAGAAGTGGGTTGAATGTTCTGATTATTTATCTGCTCACTGTTGTGTTTTTTCTGACTTTGAAGGATCATAAATATTTTTTTTATTGGGCAGAGCCAGGTGTGATCTATTTATTTTGTTAATATATCTGGACTGCTGTGGACTTATCACGTTGTAAGTTTTAGTGTATCATGATAAAACATTTATGATTTGCTTCAGAGCAGAATTCCTACTGTGTTCAGTTACGGTCCTGATTGGTTTTTGTGGCACTGAGCTGAGCAGTAACTTAAATAATGAAAAATTAGTTCTGAGTTGCAGTATGACTGACTTTGTCATCTGCTTGAAAAAATTGCTTAAATTGATTGATCTGCCTACAGTAACAATACAAATAATAATTTTGCACTATGACCTTGAATTTCCAAATAATTTTAAGTTATGTTCAAGCTGCAACCAATATAGTCCTGTATT